TGTGTGTATGTGTGTGTGTGTGTGTGTATGTGTGTGTGTGTGTGTGTGTGTATGTATTTGTATATGTATATGTATATTTGTATGTATATGTCTTTATATATATATATATATATATGAGCAGTGCTGAGATGCAAACCGCTAGATTATCCTGTGTGCTTGTCCTCGCAAATTACTAAGTGAAGATCTCCCTACAGGTAGATATAAGTACATGCTGATATGCCAGATCAGTTAGGAGTTGTGACAAGCAAACTGATGCCGAGAGCAACTGGTGTTGTTGTATATCACTAGCTCGCAGAGCATCTGTAGGATATTCTGAACCACTTGTTGGTGGGTGACGCTCCAGTACGCACTTAGTGTGTGCTGTTCTGTGTCAACTCGATCATAGTTAGCAAGTTAAGTTTAGATTCGGACGCTGAAGGCCTAGAAATGAGTCTCGTGAGCCTCAGTAGTATCTCTATAGCGATATTGTCATTACCGGAGTTTATTTCTAGTATGTCAGTTGTATCAGACAACCTCGACAGCAAACGATCGTAACTACATCGAGTACACATGCGTCGTTGTGATGTATTGCATTCTCCATTTGTTGCCCTACTGCAAAGGAACGTAACGTGAACGTGTACACATGATTTCCTTTGATAATCCCACGTGCACAGAACCCCTGGGTGTCCTATTACGAAGACGAAGAACTCAAACAAGAAATAGAGATGGACGTGCTACGCACCTATCAGGAGATGCCATTCTTTCAACAAGAGAGTGTGCAGGCAAGCCTCGGCAAGCTACTGTTTGTGTTCTCTAAGGAGTTTGCGGCACTTAGTTACAGACAGGGCATGCACGAATTGCTGGCCCCTTTACTGTGGGTCAGGACACACCACACACCTCTCACCGGACTTGGTATGTTATATATGCCGATGGTTGTGAAGTTCAAATGGTATACAGAGGCATTCGACGTGAGTATGCGTTTGGGCTGATACGTTTATGTATGAAATGTATGTTCCTTGTTATGCAATGTACATGTTGTAACGAGTCACAGATGATTCATTTGTTTCTGTATGTGAGCTT